GTCAGAAGAGTTCGAATTGTGCGGTGTTGTGTGCTGAGAACCAATAATTTGTACTAAACCATGTGTATATCCAGCTGTCAGGAGAGTTCGAATTGTGCGGTGTTGTGGGTTGAGAACCAATAATCTGTACTAAACCAATATTAATAGGCTTGAAAATCTCCATAATGACTTCAATTTTTATCACTTCTCAATTCCTGAATGATGTCAGAGAGGGCTATCGAGTGAAAGCATTTTAAATCGCGTTTGCGCTACCCTTCGTAGCAAGGGACTGTTTTGCCCCAGCAGAGCCTCATATACAGCCACCGATACAATTCTTCATTCGACATTTGGTGTACGTATATTGAAGTCTAAGCAAATAGGTTTTCTCAATGAACTACACATTACTAACAATTGCTTAATTTCACTGAACGCACTTTGTTAGCTGTTATTACTGTAGCATCCCTAGTTCTCTCTTTTCATGGAAATAGATAATGAAACTATTTACTTGATCTGCATTGTCTTCATTTCTTGAGCTCGTCGACCCGTTTCCAAATCATCTCCTTCCATCTCTGTAGTTTCTTCGTGCTTAACTTCCTCAAAAGCCTATGATTACAAAAACATACTTTTGACACTATTATAATATTTGGAGAGCGTCATACATTATAAAGCAGTTTTACATCGACAAGGTGAAAATCGCTTTCGGACCCACAAATGAAAGATGCACCGTAATGTATATGTGTGTGAAACGAATTTTATGGTGGAGCAAATGAATGATAATGGTTTTCGCTGTGGTGGCGGAGCGAACGTGGCTAGACAAGTCTACGCGCGTAAATAAGCAGACGAGTTCCAGAAATAACGTGACCGACGCCGCGTTCAGATCTCAACAAGCAGCAAACACTTTTGTTAATTAAATGTATTACCGCTTCGGAGTTAAAATACATATTCAATATATATTCCGCTATCTGATAATTGCAATTCACGCCAATCAGCATGATTTTATAAGATAAGGACCAAAATACCTGTGTATACTCACAGTTTTTAGATATTTCTTGGACAATCCCATAACAGTCGCTACCTCAATGGTCTCGTCGTATCTTCTCTTTAAACTCTGGATGTATTGGTCAATGTCTCCCACTTCAGTAGAAAATTTCTCCAGAGTTTCCTGTTGACGCAACAAAATACGCTCTTGAACTTTCAAACACACTCTATGGATAATACTAAAAAAGTAATTAGTGGCGCGACATAATGGCACAGCTTTCCCGTATTAGTTTTCTATTTCCTTTGGTCTCGGCTAGCTCTACGAACATACTCTTGCCAACTACCATCTATCGCCAACTAAAGTACATTTTGTTGAATACTTCTTTTTTTTTAATTTCCTAATAATAGAATGGAAAAAATTGTATGAATATTAAAAAACAAATCTTCACCTAAGTTGTAATTTTCTTTGAAAAAATTGCAGCCGTTTATAAGGAAATGGCGCTTAAACGCAACTGTAAATTCGAAATTTGAAGCTCTTTTTCACAGAAAATTTTGGAGTTTTCGAAAAACTTCATTTGAAGCACTTTAACACTCAAATACAATAGTGTTTACAAATTACTGGAAATGTGCATATTAACAGCATTAGAGATCTTTCAAAAAAATTAATTGTGTGCTATGTCTTAAAAAAGAGTGCGTTTAGTACTATCAGTTCGCAAAGTTTGAATGAAACATTTGGAACTTTTGAGAAAATGTTGTTTGAGTGTTTCGGAAAATGCGGAATTTTGAGCTAGTTTTCAATGAAAACTGTTGTTTTTGAGAAACTTTATCACATTATTTAAAGCACATATACTCACAAATACAATAATGTGGACAAATTGCGGCTTGTATAAATATTAACGACGCGATAGACAACTCACAAAATTATGATTGTAATTTTTAAAAAAATTAAAGAATAGAGCCATCTGGCGTTCTATGTATTAGAGTACATTTGACACTGTGGACACCAAAACTTTAAAGACGAAATTTGGAACAGTTTTTGACAAAATCATTTTGAATTTTTTTAAAATTGCACATATTGCTCGCAATATTGCGCGAAAACTACTAAAATAAATAAATAAAAATAACTAAAATAACTTCAAAAAATGTATTTGACCCTAATGTAAGAAATCGGTACGGAGAACAAATTTTATTTGTACGAACAGTTTCTATTTTCAATTTGAAAGTTGTAAGAAGACAGCCGAAAATAATTGAAATTTTCGAAAATTCAGAGTTAAACCTGAAAATCAGACATAAGCTACTCTTGTATGTAGTTTAGTATATTAAGTAGTTAAGGTTATTAGAAGTGTAGTTTACTCAATTCTGGTATTTTTTTAAATTTGAGCTGTTATTCAGAAAATGTCTGGGGGACTTCATGTAGAGTACCCCCAAATTTTAAAGATTTTTTCAAAAACTCAAAAGCTACAACTCGAGCCCGATAGACTGGGGTTTCTACAATTTGGAAAAAATTCTTCGTATGGTTTGGGCGTTAGTGGTGTTCACAGATGAACAAACGAAGTTTTGAAAAAATAACACTTTCGGTGTCACGGGTCCCCAAAACCTGTATTTCCATTGAAATATCGAAATCAATTTTCCGAAGCATTACATATTTTCCCTATACTTCGTATATACGTATCTATTACTCCGTATATACGTATGAACACTGGAAAGTAAAAAGTAGTAAAAAACGATATCTCTGGACAATACAATGTAAAAAAATAAGATGTGAAGGGATACTTCTACATTGCTGTTAGTAAAAATTGCAACACCCAGAAGGAATGGTCATAATCATTTAAAAATCGGCATATGTATAAGCAGTGTCTGCAGAAGAAGTGATTAAATTTGCGTTGTGGTTGGCGTGCACGTTGAAGTCACAGCGCCCTCCTATGTGCGACAGGTCAGGTCCGCAATACGCCACATTCAGTCGATGTAGAGGCGTTAAACGACGTGAGAACGTGCAGGCTAGTGCCGGTATGACTGGTCGACGGCAAAGGGCGCTCAATCAACCTCTGAGTCTGCTCGAACAGGGCAGAATGGTCGATCTCCGGGAAGCGGGTTTGTCGTACCGTGGCTTTGCGGCTCGAACGGGGCGCGCTGCTACGGCAATGTGTGTGGAACCAGTGAATAGAGGAGGATTATTCACGGAGAAGATCGGGTACTGGATCAGGCGAAGTGATATCACGAGATGACCGCCATCTTGTCCGCATGGCCGTAACCGACAGAACCGCACAGTGTTAGCACTGTAAAGAGTGTGATGTCTTCGTGGACGGTTCGACGCCGCCCGCTGAGGCCTGCTCTGGTGGCATGCACACCACTGCGTCGGATTCCATTGACCAGAAACCACCAACGCCTGAGTGGCCAAAGTACATATGAACGTGTACACTGGTGTTGAGTGGCAAAATGAAGTGTTTTCGGACGAGACCAGCTTCAACATGTGGTACGGCGATATCCGCGTACGTGTTCTGCGCTACCACGGTGATCGCAATCTGCCAGCCTGCATTATTCCGGGTCAAACGCCAAGTGTGATACTTTGGGGCGCCATTGGCTACAATGAGCGATCTTGCTCATACGTTTTGAGGTCAATCTGAATAGCAAGCGCTACATCACGGAAGTTTTAGAGTCCGAGGTACTGACACTTCTACAAGAAGCTCCGTATGCCATATTCCAGCAGGACAGTCCCCGACAGCACGGAGGAAGGAATGAGCTAGCTTTCTGGGAAGAACGACGGGTAACACTGCTTCCGTAGACGAACATGTCTGGGATATGACCGGCAATTTGTTCGTTCCGATCCTCCTGCAGCCACTGTCGATGCTTTGTGTTCACAGATAGAAACAAGTGTTTCCCCAGCAGCAAGGGAAGGCTCTCAGGCATTCAAGCTCTCTTTGAATCCATGCCACGTCTAGAGGCCGTGATGGCAGCGCGTCGCCATTTCACACCGTACTAATTAAACAAGGTGAAAGTGCAGGTACAATCCTGTAATTATAATTTGTATATTGTGATATTCCTAATCTGTGGAATATTTTTCATTGTAGTAGTGTCTCTTTCATGTTGCGATTTTCACAAGCCAATGTATTTATTGCTCTATGAAAGTATATTGATGGTAATCGTGTACTGCTGATTGGCACATGCTTGAAGGGTGACGCTCTAGAACACTGTGCAGCAAAACAGCAAGTAGACATTTCTATCCCACTTTGTAACTTACCAGACATGTGTAGCATATCAGAAGTTACAATGGTATTTTTTTTTTTTTTTTTGAATTTTTAAACTGTCGAGTATTGGAAGAAATTTAAAAAAATATCGCAAAATATTGATTGATTTTCCGTCACAATTAAACAGGAGTTAAAAATTAATAACTTTTTAGACGCAATATTTTAGGAAGCAAGTTTCTGCCCCCTGTGCAACGTAATGGAACTGTTGTTTATCTTACACCACACACTGCAAACTATCCATTTTCGCTTCAAATATTTTGAGGCACATCTGTGGGTAATTTTCAGCGGGTTGTAATTTGCAGCGTATGATTTCTAAATTAAGTCAATGGTATTACCGTTTCAGAATTTTATTTATTGAGAACTCTCATACTCATATCTGTTTCAGCACACTCTTAAAATATTTATTTCAAGCCAACCACTCCTCTCCAAATCTTCCCTTTCCATTTTCAATTACAAATTGTTTGATTTTGGTGATGTCATCCTTATTTCATTAATTATAATACACAATCTCACACAGTACTACAGCAATCATTAGCAACAAGTACTGCACTTTACAACAGTGTAATGGAATTAAGAATTTTAAAAAAAATCATACGAGATTTAAGGAATCCTGGCCTCTTCTACAATATAATTGAGTTACACATCAAATTAACAATCAAGAAACATTCTGTAAAAGGTTTTACAATAGTATTTCATCTTTCTTTACAATTAAGCAAAAAGGCATTGTTTAAAAACTAATGAAATCCTCAAAGAATGTAGTAGTAGCAAGTGTAAAATGCAGCACTCATGTTAACGTACCTTAATATCAAGAAGATCTCCGGGAATTGGTGTAGGAACATCGTCATCTGCAGGTGCCATTTTCATTTTCTTTTTTTTAATCTGCGTTTCTAAGTAATTCAGAAATCCTTGCGCCTGCTCCAGTATCTCAAGTTCAGCAAAGTAAGGCTTCTCCCTCGGAACCACCACAAGATTCAACTACACACAGGGCATGTTCAAGTTGAAATTGGAAAATTATTTACATTTCTTTTAGATGTAACGTAATAACGCTAACTACAAAATAGTTATTGCACGTAGAAGTGTCTTTCAAGCTTAAGGCGAAAACAGGATTGTCGCTTGGCGCCAGCTGGCTGTACGACCAAAATTCTATAAATTTACACAAAGTTTTAAAATTATTCTTTATATTAAGGAAACAAAAGTTATTAGCAATAATAATCACAATTTTGCTAAGTTTCTCTACGGGGGCACCGTCCGCAACTAATTGCACGCGCTGTTACAAAATCACTGGTTAAGCTATAACTAGAACAGTTGTGTTTATTCCTAGACATACGGATTCTACGTATTCATAAAAACCTGGAGAAGAAACTGGCGAAGTAATATGGGCAAGAAACGGGATACCTAGAAAGTGTTAAGATAGAAATACAAATAGTACAACAGCAAAAAATTCAGAAAGATTTTAAATTCTGAATTGTTTGTCGCATAATTCCTTTAGATACGAACTTACATCTTGGAATTGCACTGCATCCATGTGTCCCAAAGCCTCAATACACGCGAAGGCCACTTCATCCTGTAAGAAGAATTGACACAAGACCATTTCTTCACTGCGAAATATTGAAGGGGGGTGCTTAGGGAAGGGCATTGTCACACACGTAATGTAATTGCACAGGTAAAGAAATTGCCCTTTCGGCTGCGATTAAACAAATGACTTTCAAAATCTGTGTTGACAAATAACGTTGCTACCACTCGAATCTTTCCACTGTTTCTATTAGAAAACTTTCCTTGAAACTAATCGGGTTCCACTAACAGAAACTCCCAACTGAAAAATTAAGAATTCCTCAGACATTTAACTCGCCAAGTTGACTTTTAAGATTCATTTTCTAACGAAGAAATGGCTTCCTCTATCGAAATATGATCGGTATATTTGAACAATGTTTTTACACATTCTTTCTCCTAACTCCACAGCTTGCTACCTGCCCCCGCGGTGCCACTGACCACACATTTCACTTAAAGCTGCCTAGCAATGCTACCGCGCTCACTCTCGGCACCGCGTTGAAGGGTTAATAAACCAAGCTAGTTGTGGAGGTAATAGGATCTTGTGCTTGGCTGAATAATTTGTTAATTTGATTACGTTCTTTGATCCGGAGTAGTATTCTTACAGGCCACTCCGGTGTCTTCCGGTACATGTCTTTGGCTTGGCTCTCTTATTTACTAATGAAACATGGCACTTTCCATAGCCGAATTGTTGACCAAGTAACATTCCAATTACTTTCAAATCCCCACAAATTGTTCAAGAATCTTTTTAGTAGTTCACGAATTTCAGCAAAGCTTTGAGATTTTCATATGACTTCTTAAGATGTCCAGAATTGGCAAAGGTATCGAGGCAAACGAATCGCCATTATGTAAAAGTACACCTATGAGGCTGTTTTGAGGAATCCATAAACAACCTCCACTGACTTGCATAATAAATGATATTAAAGAAATTCATTAAACAATGAATATCACAGAAAAAAAACATACCGTTTTCTTCTTTAAAGAATTTTATTAATTCTTTCCCTTTGTTTTTGTACCAAGAGAACATGAAATCTAGTGAACATGACCAAAGTGTGCCCAAAAGAACGAGCAAGCGCAGGGGAGGCTGGAAAAGAAAAGAAAGGGAAAGAAAGACTGAACAGGGATCATGACCAAAAACAATAGAATAAATGCGATACAAGACAAAACTTTATTTTCAGAATTACAATGCTAGATATAAATGAATAAACCCTCATCCAAGATATATTAAAAAGAACTAAACGGAACAATCGAAAATACACAGAAACTAGTTTTAATACAAGCAAACCATAACATTTTGTGCTTATTCCACATGTCATTGCACTAGGCATTGCAGTTGGCTGGGCCACGGACAGCCGGTCAAATATTTGCTTTCATGAAAAAAAAAATATAATCACAGTTCATTTTACATAGAAAAAAATCTACAAGATTCAACAAAAGAAACGGGAAAACTCCGTATACTTATATTTTTTTCTATTATACAGAGAATTACAGAATTGCTCAGGGCCCACAATTGCCTAGTCCCGGCACCCTCTGAACTTATAAATTTTAAACGCAGCGAGATTTTTTTTATTACAGAGATATTTTAATTTTCAGAAATTCAACACTAGCTTATCAGATATTCTGTTTAAGTGTTAGTTGATTAAATGGCGCATTATTATATCCACTGTAATAATTATTGGAATAACTAAAATAGATTTTTTAATATCCGAAGCAATAAAGGGGTACTACAGAGATCAATGTAATTTCATTATTCGAATAGGCATCAGTTTAAAATTTCAACATTTTTAAAAAAGGAGATCGAGAAAGATAAAACGTTGCATATTGTAAGTGATACAGACCATTAAGTTCTCCAAAATATATACATGCGCTACAGTGTTCGTAAAAATTAAGTAGCACAGAATGGTCTCTTTTAGTCATATAAAATAAATGCCTATAATGACAAAACCCCACATCTCTTATGCCATGTTTGGTTTTTAACAACATTTGAAAAGGATAGCGCCTTTTCCATTTATTTAATGTTCGTCCTTGAGTAATACATGATTTAAAAGAACTCACATTAATACATGCTGCAAAAGAAGACACATTGAATCTACTACAAAATTTTAAAATATGAACATTGAAAAATCACATGACTTTGCAAGGACACTTGAAAACTTTTCAACATTTGATCCTGAGCAATATTCACTGGATATTTTGTAGTTTCAGTCACAGCAGACTGTTACTTCTCTATTCTTTAAAATTCATCACAATTACTAAAGATGCGAGTTGTAAAAGAGACCTTATTTTGCGAATAGGAAGTGTTGCGCCACAAGGCCGATAGGCTGAGCAAAATAAAATCAATCAGAATCCTACGTGCAAAATAAAATCACATTTACTACTCGTGTCATACACAATTTTTAACAATACATTTTAATTTATGTATACAAAACAATTAATTGGGTACCTTATTACATTAAATCAAATTTAGCTGATCACACCCCATTACTTTTTCTTTGTTGCATTCACAGTTTTATCTGAACATTTGCTCATCGCCTTACTTTTAGCACTTGTTAGTTAGCACTAAACACTCAATTTTTTGCGAAAAGCAAATTGAGAACTTATGTGAAGGGCCTTCTAAAACTGCATTCGTAGGTTTTATTTGCTTATGCAGGAGTATTAAAGGTGTATTACTGAGCTAAGAGCGGTATCTTCCTACTTACAAGTTCGGTGAAGATCTTGAAATTTATTTCTCACTGATAATATCGAGATTGGGAGTTAATAACAATCCTTGTGATAAGATTTCGAGCAGCTTTGAGATCTTTTCCAGTTCAAAATGGAATTAAAAGCAAAAATGTCTGGTAATTGTCAACCACATGATACTCCTTTATTTTGGGAGAAAATGAATACCTAGGATTTGGACTTTATGATATCGAATTTACGAAGGCAATATTTGGAACAACAATATGCAGCCAATAATGAAGAAAGTTATTTCCCAAATGTAGATTTATTTTCATGTAATTTAAGAGAACATGATAATGTGTTTGCTGGTTTTGTGGCAAGGAAGGTATCAACAATTTTATAATTCATAGAATGTCGTACAGCAAGTTATGTCAATCCTTAATCAGACCTTTTAGTTGAGAAGAATATTGGATGGATGTATATGGCAGCAAAAGGTCTTGTCTTTGAATGTGGGCAGATTGAGACATTTGTTTGAAATTTGCTCTTCACTGGAAATGGGAACCCTCAAAATGGTAACAGTCATATACAGCAAATGCTATTATGAACTTCGTATCTTCCCAACCTTTCTCAAACCTAGTGGAATACAATGCAAGAATGGTTTCCTAGAAAATCAAGAAGCGTGTCTCTTGAAATGTATATCATACACTATTGTTAGATGCCATCATGTAGTAAAGTTCATACCGCTGAATTACACACAAAGACTGTGCGACAGTCAACAAAATGCGTTTTATTTAAAAATCAATTACAAGTTTTGTTGATGTATTGCACCGCTGGAAGAATGCGTATTTAGTAATATTTCGCTATTTTAAAGATGTAATTGTAAGTGAAGAAATGTGTCCTAGAAAACAGGGGCACTCAAAATATTAGGAGAATAAGTGCCGACTTCACATTGGAATACCTTCCACCTTTTTCGTGAATGTTTAGGTATGCAGTGCGCGGTGTTTGCAATGAAATTACTTGTAGTAGCCAGTGCTAAAAATTAAATATTCAGTTCATGATAAAGCCGGATGAGGCAGCTGATACAAATTTTCTAAATAAACTCGAAGTGTAAAAAAATGTATATCCCTACCTATAAAAAAAATGTCCAACAATTAAATGGTTCTATGTTAAATCTTGAATATATGAAACGAGAGAAAATACATGTTAATTCAAATGTTATTTGACAAATTTTCCATGTAAAATAACAAAACCTGAAGCTATAGTTGTGAAGAGTTTTGCTCCATTTACAATTCAGTAACTGAAGGAGGAGCTATAAAGCGTAAATTTTGTATGTGTTTATTGATGCTTCAAATCACAAATCAAAATAATGCATTTTAAGCTGATACTGTACGCGCAAGGCATGCGGGCCAGACGGTATAACAGCCGCCCATCTCCGCGCGCTCGGCGCCGACGGGGTGGAGTTCCTGAGGGAACTCCTAAACGCGTGCCTAGGCGCAAGGATACTTCCCCAGAGCGTGGAAAATCGCGACAGTATCAACGATACCGAAGCCTAGCAAGGACCAACTTCTCCCGAGCGGTTACAGACCAATTAGTCTCCTTACGCTTCTTGCGAAATATATCGGGCGCCTCATCCAGCGCTTACAATGGGGAAAAGGCCTCTTAAGCTTCTTAGAGATGAGAAATTCGGATTTCGGATTGGTCTCAGTTCCTCGCAACAACTGACGCGGCTATGTACCGAGATCGGTCTCTCTCTCTCTCGAAAGACGACAAAACTTGCCGGTGGTTTTTCTAGACATGCGGTCGGAATTCGATTGTGTATGGTACGAGGGGGCGCTCGCGTGTCCTGCAGTCAGAAGGTGTTCCTAGGCAGTTTTCGGATCTGCCCTCTTATTTACTGATCCCCTACAACTTAGAGTATTCAGAGCAAGAAAGGATGAAAAGAGAGTGCTGCAATAGATCAAGCCATTGCAGACAGCTTTAAAGAGCAAGCGGAATATGAAAAGGCTAGAAGATCCTCCTCGTTTGAAAAACTCAAATCCAAACTTAACGTTTTTAATAACAGTAAGTGGAAGGTACTTCAAGAAAGTGATTCAATTACTTTTTTATAAAGTTGTTCTCACAGCTTATCCTAGGATAACTGCATCTCTTTCAATATATATGAATTTACAATTTAAAGTGTTCTTTGAAGGCTGTGAAATAGTGAGGTTGGGGAACGAAGATGTGCTTGCTACTGTGACATGTTGGATCAATTGATGCAATATTGTCTAAATTAAATTTTCGGTAGTGTTATGTTAGTGAAAGTGATGTAGATATTTTGAAGACAGTAGAACATGAAAATGACTCCTTTATGATTGAAAAGTTGAAATTAATTCATACGAAGGTGAATGCAGGAAGTTACTTGTTTCTTAGCCTGGCCCCAAATGCATACTG